TCGAGAAGATTGGAGGTTGCGGATGGCCTCTACGCTGTCTACACGTGACGCATCTTACCTGTGAGTTCGCGCGATCATTGCAAACATCAGCACTGGGTAGAGCACCTGTTAGCGCAGTCGTTCACCAAGAAAGGACCAAACAGCCATGGAAGTTCATTAGGACAAGCTCTCGCGTGACTACATGGAAGCTCTAAAGCACGACACAACGTAAAACAATCATACAAATGACAGGCCCCACAGTCTGAAGTAGACACAAAACACAAAATATCAGGACCCCAGGACCCAGGGGGTGATGGGGCGGCGTCTATAGGCTAGGGAGCGCAGCGTAGACGATGTCAATCAATGTCGATGAGAGTATCGATTGCATGAACCTACTCCGGTATTTGATTCGTTGTGAACCACTGGTGTTGACGACTTCTCCCTATCTACCCGGCGCGATATCTGTCGGGACATACATGTACAAGGTTAGGCGTGTGCGGAGAGTCGTCGAATGGTGTGCCTAGCCCCCATCACAGCGAGCGCTACACTATAACCTCCTCCGGGTGTGGGTGCATTTACGTGACAGCTCTTGAAACCTGAGACCCTTTTCCAACCCCCGTCAAAGAGCATCTCACCGCGTTGCTTGTTTCCGACAGACGTTCTCCCCTGAAGTCTGTTTACAGCACCCGGTATAACGCGCAAAGATTTACTACGTACTGCCCCCGCTTCACATGCCCTCACCAGCGTCACCAAGGCCGCGTAATAAAGCTTCGAAGAACTTGCGCTTCGCAAGGCTGAGACCTGTGAGGTCACTGCACCCTCGAAGGCGAAGAAAAGAAAGATGAGTTCCAGGTGCGGGTAATGGAGCCACGGTGACTGCGACAGTTCTCGACACTCTAACACTCGGCCCATCGATTTCCTCTGACGCGCGTTCGTTCGTCCGCCTTCTTCTTCATTGCTCTCCAAATCCCCCGAGTCGCTGCTGCCCCGAAATAGCGTAGATGGTCCTCTCAATGAGTGCGACCGAACGGTATCTGCCGACTGCCTCCCTGCTGAGGAGCCCCTATCCAAACTCGGCTGCTGGAAGCGTGTGTCCAAGATGGCTGTGGACAGCTCGCCTGAAGAAAGGCCATGGCCCAGGGCTCTTGAAGCCTCCCTACTCGCCCGTTGCTTGTAGAGCACGAAACAGAGGCAGGAGGGCAGTTTGTTGGTTGGGGGGTGCGTAAGTAACATACGTTGCCCGTTGCAACTCTGTGTAGCTCTACGCTCATTACCCATGCCGCCATCATTTGGTTTCGCGATAGTCACAATCTGCACGCCGAAAACACCTGCCATGCTTATTGTTGAACGTATGGATGTTTTTCCCTGGGGAACGGCTCGCGATACCAACCTACAACTCAATGTAGGGTCATTTCTCACCTTTGCCAGCCAGTGCGCTTCAATTCCCGACGCCACCAAGATGTGCAAGGAAAATATGATCACCAGAAGCCCGGCAAAAAGCGCAAGATTTCCCATGAACAACAGAGAGCCGAGGTCGTGGGTAAATGACACGGATATTCCTCGTTTCGTTGTATCATCGTCACCATCATCGTCACCATCATCGTCACCATCATCGTCTCCATTGATTTTGTCGGGTTCGCTCGGAAAGATCCGTGATGCAACACCCTCCGAGAAGCTTTCGCTTGGCCACAAGTTTACCCACCTTGACAATGCCGAGCGGAATAGATGCGTAGCAACACAAAGGGCGCAATTCAGATACGTTGTTGCGTGCGTCCACACAAAGTGCTCGATGGTAGGCCAAATGGTGTTTTCAGCGCGTCGTCTTTCTGAAACTATATATCAATGTAGAAGAACGTGATCGTTGCACGTGCTCCTCTACAGATTGAAGTGACCCACTCGGCCCAACCGTCCCATGAGCCTAATTAATAGTCTTGCTGACCTGAGGACGTTGGCAAACGCAGAGAGAGCAGAATCCTCCGCTCCCGTATTGTCCACGAACGACAGCGTTGCTAAAAACTGAACTTGTGACGTAAGAAGTAGAGCCATTGTCGACGACGGATTGCGGAACGTACTCTGCGTCGATGCCTGGCCCTGTTTCGCAAAAGGGAGCAAGGACGTCAGGATAATAGGAGAGTGTAGGATGATGGAGTGACCGAGCGCGAAGGAGTTGGAAGCCGACCAAGGATCCGCACGAAAGACGCTGCTGTGCTGAATATACTAAAAACAATAGATTCAACACGTAAAAAAAACACCTCGTATTGTTACTGTCCAACTACAACCAAACATTCCTATTCTCCGGAACATACCGCGCCCCCCGCCATTACTGATGACGCTCCACTG